AAATGTGACATGGGCATAGTAAAATCGAGGGACTTGATGAGATGAATCCAATGAGCCCAAAATCGTAATTCCGACATCATTTAAGCACTCAAATATTCAATAAGTAGTATATGATCAAGAAAATCAATATCAGTCATCTATATAAAACACTCTGACCTATCATTGATATTCTCATTATTTACTAGCCATGCCATTTCCAAAAAACACTCTAACATACTATTAATTTTTACATTATTTGAAAATGTTTTACAATGATAATTTGAGATGCAGACATAATTTTCACCGCCAAATTGCGGCTGAAATCACTGCCACAAATATGACGCAACTGAGTTATAATATAAATTAAAAAACTAACTTTTTAATATGTTTTGTCTTCTTAAGAAGAGATAGAATATAAATTTAATTATAATTGATACGTCATCACAAAATTATCTTGATCGGGCACGAATCTCGAGGCAAAAATCAACTCGAAAACTTCAAAAATTAAATTCGGGAGTACCTGAGCTCCGATTACAGCAAGCTTATAGTCAAACTGAGCGTCTCGGAAATACGAACCCAACGACACCAAATTCAACTCAATCCGAGTCCAAATGAGCCCAAATCAAGCGCCCGAAGCGCTGTTGGAAGGTTCAAACCACAATTTGAGTTACCAAACGGTCTCCGATTTTAACGAGCATATACTCGAATCAAACGGCTCGACGAGAATAATCCAACGAGCCCAAGATCGTCGAATTCCGATATCATTAAGGCCTCCAAATGTCCAGCGAACGGTGCACGATCGAAGGGTTCAATATCGGCCGTCCATTCAAACCACTCCCTATTCGCCCCTGATCTCACGACTATTTACGAGCCATGCCACTCCAGAAAAATTATAAATAGAGTTCTCATTCTTCACAAAAGGGGATCAAGTGAAGAGAGAGAGAAGAAGAAGAAGAGAAGAAGAGGAGAAAGAGGAAAAGGAGAATCCTCTCCTCCTCGACTACCGCCGGAGCTCTTCCCGCCGCCTGAATACGCCGGAACTCTGGTGGATTTTTGGGAAAAGATGAGATTCAACAAAACTCTGTAATTTTACTTCAAATTGTAATCTGATTGTCCCGATTTGTGGGACGAATCAGTTTCTTGTAATTTACAAAAATACTAGTGGAACTTTTCAGCTGGGCGTGGCCCCGTGGTTTTTTCCCTCTTCTGGGTTTTCCATGTAAAAATCCTGATGTTCATTTTCTTTTCTGTTTGTGTGCTGAATATTTGTGCAACGCTCGGACGTGAATTTCTAAACTCTACCGTCGCGTATATTCTAGCCCGCAACAATAATAGAATAAATAATAATTTTATTAATATTGATTTAGCCAAAAAAAAATATATTTACTTAATTACATCTGATAAGAATATAAATTTAATTAAAATAAAATTTTATCAAAGAAGTTAATTAATATTTATTTAAAAGAAATTATGGATAATAAAAATTGAACCTATTATATCACATCAATCTTTAAGAATTATGAAATACATATCTTAAAGAAGATCTGTTCAATTAAATATAATCAGCTTACCTATAGTTTTCTCTTTCTAGAGAAAATTTAGGATATTTATGTAAACTAAAATTAATATATGTTAACATAATTGTTTTTTCTTGCCATATGATTGGTTAACATTTGATTATTAATTGTAAGTTTGCAATTAAATTAAAGCTTAATGTCCAAAAAAATAAATTAAAATCTTCCAATTAATCATTTTAAGTTTTATATAAAAATTAAAATTGAATTAATAAAGCGAAGGGACAGACATGTAAATAATAAATACGAAGTCGCTAGAGGAAGGGCAATAGGGTTGTTTTGACTCGGCTCGATTCAAGGTAATATGCTAAATTTATATGTTTGAACCCTTTTACATATGTCTAATGATGTTCTGTGTGCATGTAAAAGTCTGTATGTTTTCTGAAATAGGCCATGGTGGTCTTTTTTCTTGTTTGGAAAAATCTAAATATTTCCCCTTGGGCGTCGAGGCAATAGGGTTGGCCGTGCTATGGCACCTTGGTCTTGAGAATTTTCAAAAATAGATTAGCACAACAACGCTGGGGTGGAGCTACGGCACTGTCGGCTCTTTAAGAGAGTTTTATGGATGGCATCGCGAGGCGCCACAATGCTAGGTCAAATTTTTATATTAAAAATATAATGTTTGTATTATTCACCCCATTCATTTCTAATAAGGGTTGTTGGGTAGTGAGAAGAGAGAGATTCATAGAGAGAGAATCAGATTTGGGCTGTTTCGAGCAGTTTTCTACTAACGGACCAATTCTTAAAGTTGGTCGGATCGAAATATGTGACATTTTATCTATTTTAGTTTTTAAAAAATGGAGATTTCTAAAATTTTCTGATTTAATTTATAATTTTGTTAGCAAAAAATGGGGATAACTTATTATCTTTAAAATTTTATCATATAAGTTTATGTATGTTATAGAGAGATATTCTAAATATTTAGATATTTCTAAAAATTTTATGTTGAGGGTTTTGAAAATTTTGTTATTTTAATTGATTAATAAAAAATAATAACCTGAAAAATAATGTTGTAGTATACTAAAGTCCTAAAACAGTGTTTTATATAATCTCCAATAATTTATTTATCTTATGAAGCAACATATTTCTTAGTAGTACATTTAGTTGTCTACCATTATAGCATTTTGAGAAATTTTGAGATAACTTTTCTTATATTTTAATCAGTACAATGCAATGAATTATGTGCTTAATTAGATGAAATGTGTGTTTCTGAGAAAATTTGATGTGGGTGGATGGAGTTATGTTTAGGTGCCTATAGGAATATTCTTATGCCTACCAACATATTCTGGTGCTTTATGCACATTCTATTATGATGCAAAATGCACATTCATTTTCGATGCTGACATTGGGATGCATAAATAAGGGCTTGCGAAGAATTTGTTAATTTATGTTTTGATATACATAATATTAGTTTATTTACTTCCTTATAATACTATACAAGTTTCTGATAACTGCAAGTGTGATCTTGTTAAATATAGTGAATTAACATAAATTGTTTTAAACTCAGATGCATATTTGATAAATGAATTATTTGAAAATTCAGATTGATAAAAATGTGATTTGCTGAGCTGTGTTAGCTCACATTTATTTTGTCTTCTATTTTCAAGAATTGAGAGGGGGTAATAGACAATTGACTATAGCAATGTGATTTGAGTCTGTATATGCATTTTTTTCTTTTAATTTTTGTACAACCATAACCAATTATTTAATCTAATTTGTTATGTATTACAGTCTATAATCATAGACTATAATGTAATTATTGTATATTTATTTTAATGATGAATGAAAAGAAAATTTTATGGATCAGCTTATTTCCTGCATATTGACAATTATTACCAGCTCTGTGGTTTGTGATTTGTTTTAAAGTTAAAATTAGGCCAAAAGCTGAATGGTTTCCAAAACCTAGATATTTAGGTTTTCCTGTTACAAATCAACACGATAGATTCTATCTAGTTTGTGGGTCTTATCAGGTTGGGTTGTGATAAAGGCAATGGATATTTGGATACTTTCAAAAATAAAAGTATGGTTAGCTTTATTGATTGTCAATGAACCTACACTGATAGTTCCAATCTTGTTAGCATTCTTCGAAATAACCATTTCATCATAGTGACATCGGAGAAGTTTGGAAAATTTGATCTATATGGAGATCTACTTAAAGTCTTTTGTGATAGAGATAAAATTTGGTGATCATTAATTGAAATTAAATGGTATGTCATTGTTAAATAAGGAACTTTTATTACATCTAGTGAACGTACGCTCCTCTACGTTCGGTTTTAGGCAAAAACACGCTACAACTCGGTACTCGGTACTCGGTACAAGCACTTTTTTTGCCCAAACCGAACGTAGAGGAGCGTACATTCACTGGATAAAATAAAAGTTCTTAAATAAGAGGTGTCCATGAATAATATTTTTCAAGTCTTCCTCATGAATAAATTTAAACAGAAAGAATCCATTGATTATGAAACTTTTATTTCCCCTAGTTTTTTAATAGCTAGTATTAAATTACAATAGCATGGCCTTTTACTGATGGCAAATCCAAGAAGCACGTGTTTATAATATTTTGATCCATTTTTTTTTTTTTTTGGTTTTAGTGAATGTTAATTTATCCCTTGTGCTTGGAATGAATGATTGTTTGAGAGAGGATGACTTTAGAATACGAGCTATGTGTTAGCCTTTCCAATTCATGGGATAAGATTGAATGCAATGAGAGGTGAGTAGAGGGGCGATACTATAGCTTGGGCAAAGGGAACAATTATTACGTCCTCCGACCGGACTTAGAGGAACGTACGGTCCGAGGTCAAATCCTGCCAAAAAACGAGAAATACCGAACAAATACCGAGCAATACCAAACAATAACGAGAAATACCATCACGTGAAGACCTAATACCGAGTTATACCGAGCTATACCGAGTAATAACGAGTTATATAAAAGTTGTACTGAGTTTTTCCTAGCAAAAACTCGGTACAACTTGGTATTGCTCGGCATAGCTCGGTATAACTCGGTATTGATCTTCACAGAGCGGTATTCCTCGTTATTATCAAATAATACCTAGCAATACCGAGCAAATATCGAGCTTTTTGGCGGGATTTTGCCTCCGACCGGACGTTCCTCTACGTCCTTACACCGGACCTAAAAAAAAGTTCGGGCAAAGGGGGGAATGAGGACGATAAGTGCATTCTAGCAAATATCGAAGATTAAGATGAGAAAGTCAAAAACCAGAAGGGGAGATAATAATGGTCAGTGGGGAGAAAACCCTAACAAAGTAAAGAGATATGCAAGCCTTTTTAATCAAACCAAATAATTTATTAGCCAAAATTTTATTTATAAACTAATTTTAAAGGAGCACAAACTTAAATTCTAACTAATATAAAAATATATTAAAATTTTAAAAAATTATATGGTTCTCTAATATTTACCCTTAATTCTTGAAATTGTCTTTGTTCATTGGCCGAAGTTCTTTGTTTGAAACCGGGAGATCGATCATAACGGTATATCACCCAACTTTTTGTCCAATGGTATCCTAACTGCGAAAAATGGGTTCTTTGCCGTCAACCGGCGGCCTGCAGGTTCTCGAGAATGGCGACGCTCCCGTCATCAACAGATGCGAGTTAAGGGTTCTCTTCGAGAGCCAGCAGCGTCACCTCAACGATTTCTTCGACAAGCTCGACCTCGACCACGCCCAAGCCTTCGCCCAAGCCCTTCTAGACGCGCCCGGCGCCATCTTCTTCTCTGGCGTCGGTAAGTCTGGCTTCGTCGCTCTGAAGCTCTCTCAAACCCTCGCTTCCCTCGGATTCACCCGATCCGCCTACCTTCCACCCGTAGACGCCCTTCACGGCGACATCGGTGCCCTTTTCCCCTCTGATATCCTCGTCCTCATCTCCAAGTCCGGATCCTCTGATGAGCTCCTCAATCTGGTCCCCTGCGCACGTGCCAAAGGAGCTCGCTTGATCTCTTTGACATCTGTAGAGGGAAATCCCCTCGCCTCGCTCTGCGACATGAATGTGCATCTTCCTCTCGAAAGAGAGGTCTGCCCCTTTGGCCTCGCGCCCGTCACCTCCTCCGCTATACAGATGGTGTTTGGGGACACGGTGGTGGCTGCGATTATGAGGGCTAGGAAGCTTACCAAAGAGAGCTATGCGCGCAACCACCCCGCGGGAAAGATTGGCAAGAGCCTGATCTTCAAGGTATTCGGCGGAATGCTGGCAGATCTTTTTTACTCTTTTTCCTTTTTTTGCTTTATTCAACCTTCGAAAACTCGTATTTCGCTTCATCTTTCTTTATTTCTTCCTGCATTACTTCACAGACAATCATTTTGTTCTGCTTTGACCAAATCCCGAATCTGCGTTGAAAATAACTTACGTTATGAATTTGCTAAATTCTGAATTGCGGATCCGGGATACGTTCCAGTAGTGGAATTGTGTGACATTGCACGCTGTTTAAAGAATTTTTTTTTTTGGAAAACAGTCCTGGTTTGAGATTTTGATTGTCTGGTCTTTTGAATTATTCTGTAGATTGAACTGAGGACTTGGCAACCAGGGGAGCATATCTTCTCCCTGAATTTATTTTGCTGTTTAAGATACCTTTTTGAAGTTTTTGTCCATATCAACTCCTCTTTTCAGCTGTTTTCTTCTTCCTTTTATGCTAGTTTTGGTTCACATTTTACTTCAATAGGTTCTACTTGAGCTTTTCTGCTCAGATTTTGTTTACAGCTGTCTGTAGGCTTGCTTTTCTTACTTGGGATTGTGACTGCTTCATACCACTTGTAATTTCTACATTTAATCAAAATCTGATGGATGAAACTACTTGTGGATGTTATTTTTCTTTCTTGTTTTTATTAACATGTATTTTGTTAGGAAAAGTTAAGATAGATGAAACTACTTGTGGATGTTTGCCGCTCTCACTTTCATATGAAAATATCTCTCTATATAGAAAAGTTTTTTTTTTGTTTCGAATAAAGAGATATATCAGACTCTTAAATTCCACATCAATTGCTTTTATAGTACACAGGCATCTTTCTCTCTCCAATCAGGGCACTTTTGCCAAGGCGTAGATGAAATCCAATGGCATTTGAGGAGGATGAGCTAAGAAATCCAAGTGTTGTAGTCTTGTAGATCATAATTATGGTCCATTATCGTATTGTCATCAAATTTAATCCTTTTCTTCATCAATTTCTCTTATTAAATAGTAGATTATCTTCTCTAAAACACGCAAAGAAATTAATAAGAAATAGAAAATTGCAGCAGAAATAAAAAACATCAAGATTTAGCATGAAAAAATTCGAAACCGAGAAAAAACTATGGAACCACACCACATCAAAAAATTTGCTATGAAAATTTGGGATAGTATAAATATCTCCTCTCTCATGCTCTCCTTGTCTCTCTTTACTCTTGCACACGTTTTCATATAAGAACTAGGAAAGATATACAATAAAATCACTTATGGACGCAACCCTTCATGAAAAAATGAGAAAGAAAACTGCCCAACCCTCTCTGTTTAACAGCGTCACAATGCCAAAGTCTGGATCGTCACAACGCTCTGCTCTCTCTCTCTGTTTCCGACTACACAATACAACGTCGTAGCACTCGGATACACAGCACCACGACATTGTACGGGAAAAAAAAAATCCCGGGTACAAAACACCCAAACCCAAGCAGGGGAGGACCCTTGTGAGGTAGACTAGTGGAATTAAGGTCAGAGATAACCGTACAACTTGATTGATCGACAAAATCAAATTCCACACAAAACTAACATTGAACTCATATTTAAGACAATTTTTTAATAGATTTAGATGGCTTTGAGCTTATTCTTTGAACGATCCCTGCCCTATCTCAGTATTAGTCTATCTAGTTTTTCTTGGATATTATACAAATGAACATTTTCTCTGTTTGCTTGTCATTTATCTGAACTAGAACAGAGGTTGACGATGACTTGATATTAAATTTCTTAGATGATCCTTGCTTTCTCGTTATCCTTTCTTGTTTTACTTACTTTCGCCTCATCTGTTCTTGATTTCCTTGGAAATGCATCTAATTTTAGTTTTCAATATTGAGTATATTTGCTAAACCATCTTTTGGGAGTTCCTATACATGAAATGCAAAAGACCCGAAACAGCTTGGGCAGAAATAACTTCTGATCTTGAGATTAGTAACTTAAAGTGTTTGTCTTCCATGCAGGTGAAAGATTTGATGAAGAAACAGGACGAACTTCCACTTTGCAAGGAAACAGACATGATAATGGGTCAACTTACAGAGCTCACTAGTAAAGGATGTGGATGCCTGCTTGTTGTTAATGCTGAAAGCCAATTGATTGGGACTTTCACTGATGGTGACTTGCGGCGCACCCTCAAAGCTAGTGGTGAAAAAATATTCAAACTCACCGTTGGTGAAATGTGCAACAGGTAGATTCTTATTGTATTTGATTATGAACTTGAACATGTTTCAAAAACATTTACTAATAGCATAGGAAGGTTTGCTGTTTAGTTATATTCTTTTAATATGTTTCTTAAATATGCATGAAAAGAGTACTTGTTCATAGGAGAAATTTTGATAATATGCTTTTCATTTTCAAAACTTTTAATGGATGTCAAATCAAATATACAGAAGGGCTTGCTCAATCCATTAAGGCATCTAGCAATTTGGGATTTTATTTAGATTGACTGCATTGTGAAATCTATCTTTCAAAAGCACTTTCCTTTATTAGGAAGCCTGTTAAATTCCCAACTGAGGGAGAGTAAGGTGGATAGTTGCCTATTTTCTATTTTTCAGTGATCTTACCTAATTGTTGCTTTAGACATTTAATGCCAGATGAGTACCTTCCCATTCACTTCTTATTCCTTCTCAGTTTCTCAATGTATACTCTAATTGTTGACAGTAATATTCCCACCCTGAAGCCTCACGATTCAAAAGTTGTGTAAGTTTATATATTCTCTAATCTAGCTAGAGCGTTAGAATTCAATATGGCTGACTGGTTTCTAATCTTAATAAAGTGATGATATTGAGTTTTTATTTTTTTTATTCAAATTAGAAAATTTATTTTATGTAAAATTGGCAAGTTATCTGTCTGTTTGCTGAGTCTAGGCTGAATGGAACTTAACTTTTATGAAGTAGGAATTAGTCATCAAAAAGCTTTCTTTTGATAAATGTTTCGTTTGGGACAGCTTTTTCACTACTTTCTAAAACAGCTTTTTAGTACAACTAGAATTTTTTGCATTAGAAAGTCGTTTTAGAAAACATTAAGAAAGCCACCCCAAATGATGCCAAATTCAGTCATTCGAAGATAATGCCTACAGAGTGGAGATAAAAAAAGTTATAAGAATCAGGAAGCCCTTTTCGGTTTGAGGCCTCAGCATTAGCCAAATGCTTGGAAAATAAGTAATGCAGAGGAAATTGAAGATGCTGCTTGGCACAAAGTTTAATATGGCAACTGTGATTAGTAACACACTTAATATACATATAGCCTAGAAAACATGAATATTGAAAAGAAAACCGAATAACAAAGAAAGATTAGAATAAAAAATAAATTAGCCTAGAGAATAGAACCTTTTAAAATTACTTCAAATGTTTTTGTCATGCAACACTAATATAATCATATCAAAATCAATAATACATTGCCTATATTTATCAAAAACCAACCCCAAATAAATTCTATAAACAACAACAACATCAAGCCTTTATCCCACTACGTGGGGTCGGCTACATGAAAATAAATTCTATAAACAAGATGATTCAAAATTCAATGAATCAAGTTCCTATGAGTTTAATTAACCCTGAAATTCTAGATAGAAGAATAGCAAGGAATTGTGGACATGATCGTAGATGATTCTTTAGTTCTTCTTCTGTCTGCTCTCAAATTGTTGTTCCTAACTTCCTTGCTTCATCACATAAGGGCATGACCAAAGATAGCTTCAACAAGGCTTTTTATTTTTTGCATGGTTGTACCTTCAAAAAGAAAAGTAGCTCTCAAGATACTTAAACCAAATATCGAGCTTTTCCATGTCCATTGTCTTGCTGTCGGTTGGCAACTCAAGGTTAGCAGCAACCTTAAATGATGTCCATTTCTCCTACAAAATGCTGATAGATGTACCTTTTATCTTTTATTTTTTCATCATCTTCAAAATTTTCTCCATCTGAATTAGTTCTGATCGTACCATGATTTATCATATATATATATTTTATTTTTTTTATTTTTACCATGCTTTATCATATGGGTAACCAGAGTAGCATGATTCATCACAGCTCCTTATCCCCTCTGCTAGGCCATGAGATGTCAAAAGATTTTGATAGGAAATACTTGAGTTCGCAAGTAACCCCAAGGGGAAATACTTGAGTTCGCAAGCAAACCTATCAATAGTTGGTGAAAACAGCAAGAAATATGCTGATTTTAGAGAGAAATCAGCAAAACAATGTAGGAATTTCAGAAGGTTGGACAGAAAACACAAGAAAAACTTCTTCTATTGAATCCACGAACAAGAAAATCAATACAAGATACAAGTTTCTTCAATTCGAGTGGCACCGTTCTATTTTTGAGGAAAATGTTTTTCCGGTGAATAATTGCTATTTTAAGCTAGATATATCTTTCTTTTGATTTCCATGAGCGAAGGACGGGCCTTTATTCATGCATATGTGTTCATTTATCTATTCCATCCAGGAACCCACGAACAATCACACCAGAAGCAATGGCGGTAGAAGCCATGCAAAAAATGGAGTCACCACCATCTGCTGTCCAGTTCTTGCCTGTTATTGACGATCAACAAGTTGTGCTTGGGATCATAACCTTGCATGGACTGGTTTCTGCTGGGCTGTAGAGATTTATTCAATGATGTCTTGTACTTCTATTCTCAACATTTTTTCTTTGTTGTTGTATTCTTTGTACCTGTTAATTGTTAGGCTTGTCAATGTGGCTCTTCACCTTTTAACTTGTTCTTCTTTTGCTCCCGAATTTAGCTGAGGAACTGATTCTTAGGGTGTCTCTTTTGTTGTATTTTTCCAAAATAAATTGAATAAATGAATGATTCTGACCATGATTTCTTTCTGTAAGCGCCAACTATTGTATTAATATTCTCATTCTCATTTCTGGATTGCTGAACTTCTAACTTTGCTTTGGCAAGTTAACTTGATCACCTGCTTTAAGATGTATTAAATATTGCATAATTTACTGCCAGCAGGCAAAAAACTATTTGGCCATTTCGAAATCTGTACAAATAGGATTTAGCAGTTTTAATTGCGACTTGTAATTGTAAATTTATCAGGTTACAAGGTGATCTTTTAGAACTATACTGTGCGGCTTCTATTTTAGATTTTTTTACTCTATATAGCCCAAAGGACATTGCTTTGATAAATGCAGAGCATCCATTCATTTTTTTGGGGAAATTTTTTGGCATTGCCCGTATATTATAAAGGAAAAAATTACAGGTAAAATTTAGGCTCCAAAGAAAAACAGGAGCAGCTCATAAGAGCTCAAAAATCAAAACAGTGATCAAAATGCTATACCAGCCCAAAATACAACAAAATACAGATGGAAAACAGAATAAGTTAAACGGAGCAACAAGTAAGCCATGACTCAGTTAAGAGTCAAAATTCAACATAACTTTCGCACGGAGAGATCCCTGGTTGTCTGAAGACCATCATAGAAAAAAAAATCAGGTGATAAGTGAACATCATCATCGCTGGCTGCTGCACATCTACCCACAAACCAAACAAATATGCCTCCACAACAACAAGACATATAGATGATATGAAAGCCGCATCTCGGACCAATCCACTTACAGGAGATCCATAACCTTTTTTGAATTTTTTTCACTTATAGATCTTAGAAAAAACAGCTTTTTTGATTTTTGATGTAATAGTGGAGTAACAGCTCATAGAACCCCCAAATTTTCTCTCATTCCTTTCTTTTCATATGAAATATATAGAGCAGCAGGTGATGAGAAGATGACAGATTTTTAATAGCAGCCTCAGTGAACTCAAGATCATTAATCCATTCCATCAAGTGTAATATCGTTTGTCTAAGCAGCAAAGAGGAAGTTTCCGGCAACAGTTTGGTTATAACAGAGTATGAGAAGTTGCATTCAAAGAAATATGATTATATGAGAGCTACTTTCACTAGCTATGTGGCACAACTGGCATAAAGAATCTACTTTTATACTTCTTTTGAGTAAAACATCTGTTGTTTTTAATCCTCCTATCAAGGCTAGCCGGGCAAAAATGGAAAATCTCAACACATATCTTTTGTGCCAAACCATGATATATCAGAATGTTGTGGAAGTTCTTTGCAGAACTCCTTGATATAAAGCCCAAAACAACCTTCAGCCGAACTTCCCCATGTTAAAGAAATAGCAGAACTTTCATGTATGGGAATAGCTCTGATGATTGAAGCGACAGACAAAGGCAAAGTGTTAGGCAAATTCCAAGAGTTCCTAACAATTAGATCCTTAACTAGGGCAGACGATTCTAGAGCTTGCAAAAAAACATAGCCCTAATGAATATCTTTGAGAGAGTGCCCATCACACCAATGGTCCCAATGCATGGAAATGAGAGAGGAGGGGGTAATCTTGAATTTAAATGCATTCCTCACCAAAACCGCAGTTTTACAGATTGGTTTCCAGAAGATAGAAGCTTAGTGCGGATGAGGTCGCCAAGGTGAGGAGCATCTATGGATTAGCCAGGATGATAGAGGAGTTGCGTAGTCATACATTCTGCTTATAACAGAGCAATTGAAAGCAAATTGGAGAGCTAACAGAGATGACAGTCCCAATTCACCGGAATTTTTGGGTTTGCAAACCTTGTGCCAAAATACCACACACATCTTCCTTACAGCAGAGGTATCACCAAAGAATAAAAATCTAGAGGATGTTTTTCTAATAAATTTAATGGCAGTTTTAGGTAAGATCGATTAGGGGTGTCAATTATTGACCCGACCCGACAACATGACCCGAATCCGACCTGGAAAATTCGAGTTTGGGTCAACCCGTTTAACAAATGGGTCGGATTCGGGTTTGAATTTTTCACCCGTTTAGAAAACGGGTCGGGTTCGGGTCAACCCGCTGACCCGTAATTGACCCGGCTACCAACCCGTGTCTGCATCGGAACCGCAAATCACAATGCTAATGACCAGTCTTGCCCTAGCCCTCGACCCCTGGCCGCCTTGTGTCGAACAGACGAACCGCGTAAGTGCGGAACCGCCTCGCGTGATCGCGTCCAATAGTCGAACCGCGGACTCTCGGAGACAGGAGGCTGAGCCCTAGGTCTCTCCCCGACCTAGGCACGCCGCACGCCACAAGCTCGTAAGCGACGAGCTCGCATTGGTGCATTGCTCGCGCAGGCGCGCCACACGCAGCTCTCGCCCTCGCTCAAACCGCGCCTGGCGCGCCATGGCTGAATTCCGATCTCAAATCTAAGTTCACGGGTTCGCGGGTCGGGTCGGGTCAACCCGGTAACCCGCATGGGTCTGGTTCGGGTTGGAAATCTTCACCCGTTTAGCTAAACATGTCAGGTTCGGTCCAAGCCATTTAAGCCCGGCAACTTGGGTTGGACCCGAACCCGACTCGTTGACTCAAATTGACACCCCTAAGATCTATCCCCTTATCCAATAAGCAATGAAATTCATAACAGTAAATTTCAAATATTGCAAAAGACCTGCAAAAGAAAGAAGATTCGCCTTCCAACCAGTCATTTTCTTAGTGATGCTTTTCATAAGTGGCAAAAAGTTTGCCACCTTTAGTCTTTTGAATGAGAGAGGTATTCCCAGATAAATGATGTGAGTGCTGATATTAGAGATAGAAAGGGCTTGACATATGATATGATGATTTTGGAGATTATTACGAGATATAATAGAGCTTTTCTCATAATTAATGTGGAGACCAATAGCATTAGCAAAAGTATTGAGAATGTGTGCCAAATTCTTGCAGTTATCCACCTCAAATTTATAAAAAACCAACAAATTATCAACATATAAGAGATGAGATAATTTGAATCCTTCAATATTAACACCAGCAAAGCCTCCTTCATCTAGAAGTGTTTATTGATTAGGTCCTCGTTCTCCTCAATTAGAAGTATTTTTTGACTTATATGACTTGTAAATAGGCTAATTATTGCACAAAGAAACCACCAAACATAAGGAGGAATTAGGCGCAATTAGCTCCCTATCCCATGTGAAATCTCTCGTCTTCTCCTAAGCTTACTTTGAACACTTGCAATGCGTTAGAAGCCAATTCCCTTATCCTCACGCATCTTTTTTCCTCCATGTGCTGGCCGTAGCTTTGGACCTGATTTGTATCATTTATCAGCGATATGTGCGTGTACTTTTCAACGGTTACTTTTTTGTTGTCTTTTATATTTATTGAAATCATATACAATTAATGTCTGAATTATCATTTGAAGATGAGGATTTAGGTGTAAATAAATCAATTAATGCCTGAACTATCATGGGCTTGATCTTGAGCTTGACTGACAAATCAAATTTGAGCCAAAATTTGAGAAGAAAAGACGATGATGTTAATTTGAGGGTCTATAACAATGAAAGCATGGGATGTGATAAGCCATCAAAAAATTATCTTGATCGGCCACAAATCTCGAAGCAAAATCAAGTGGGAAACTTTCAAAATTAAAATTGGGACCATCCGAGCTCCAATTTCAGCAAACTTATAGTAGAACTGAACGTCTCGGAAATATGAACCCAACGACACCAAATTCAACTCAATCCGAGCCCAAATGAGTCCAAATCAAGGACCGGAAGTGCTTTTGGAAGGTTTGAACATTAATTTGGATTACCAAACGATTTCCAAACATTATGTGCTTATAATTGAATCGAGCGGCTCGACGAGACGAATCCAACGAGCCCAAGATCACCGAATTCTGACATCATTAAGGCCTTCTAATGTTTAACGAACGGTACATGATCAAGGGATTCAATATCGGCCGTCCATCTATCCACTCCCCATTTACCCTTGATCTCTCACCTATTTACGGGGCATGCCACTCCAGAAATCTATAAATAAATCCCTCATTTCTCTTGAAAGAGGATCCAAAGAAGAAGAGTGGAAGAGAAGAGAAGTAATAAACTCCTCCTCGACCACCACCGGAGTTCGCCGAACCACCACCTGAGGCCCTCACCTTCGCCGGACAACTGCCCGACGTCGTTGCTCCGCCGGACCACCACCTGAGGCCCTCACCTCCACCGGACCACCGCCTGACGTCGTTGCTTCGCCGGACTACCTCCTAAGGCCCTCACCTTCGCCGGACCACCACTTGAGGCCCTCACCTCCGCCAGACCACCGCCTGACGTCGTTGTTCCACCATACCACGACTTGAGGCCTTGTACTCCACCAGGCCATCGCTTGAAGCCCTATGCTCCACCAGGCCACCACTTGAAGTCGTGTGCTCCACTAGACCACCACTTAAGGCCCTGTGCTCCACCAGGCCACCACTTGAGGCCCTCACCTCTGCCGGACCACCGCCTGACGTCATTGCTCCGCCGGACCATCACTTGAGGCCCTCACCTCCGCCGGACCATCGCTTAACATCGTTGCTTCGCTGGACCACCACTTGAAGCTCTCACCTCCGTTGAACCACCGCCTGACGTCGTTTCTCCGTCGGACTAGCACATGAGGCCCGGACTTCCATCAGACCATCACTTAAGGCACGAATTTCTGTCAGGACACCACCTGTTACTCAGAGTTCTACCAAAGTACCACCCTACTACAACAGTCTTTCTGAACCCGGTCTCTTGCATATTATGGTCCTTTCGACCTACATCACGGACAATGGTCTTTTTGACCCCGGTCTCCTGCCAACTACGATTTTTCCAACATCTATCCCATCGACTATGGTCCTGCCGACCAAACAAATATGTCTATGTAACTCCCACCATGTAATGTGCTCTATATGATGTACGTTTGTGACATCAAGCTAAGGCCTTCTCCTAAGCAAGGGCCTCATTTGTAATCGACTGCAAATACTAGTGGGTTCATTCAAACTGGGCCAGGCCCGTGGTATTTCCCCATATTCAAGGGTTTCTACGTAAAAACTCTAGTATCTCT